CCCGCCGCCGCCGCACCGGGAGCGGCGGGGGGGAACACATGCTCGCGTCACCCGCCGAGAGGAGGGGATTCCCCTCCGCCGCCGCGAGGGGTGTCCCCCCTGACGTCACTGCTTGAAAAAGGGGGTCCCTGAGTGACGTCAGAGCCGGCGGGAAGGAAGTCCCGGGGGGACGGGCGAGGGCCAGCGGGGTCCGTCCCCGGGAGCAACAGGCGGGAGAGCGCCGCGCCGCCGGTCCCGGCCGTCGCGGGTGCAGGGCGCGGAGCCGCCGCGGGGGGGCGCGGTGGGCGGTGGCTGCCCCCGCCCCGTCCGACCCGTCCCGGCCCGTCCCGTCCGGCGGCGGCCGCAGCCGGCGGAGCAGCGCGCAGCAGGTAGGCTGGCCCGCCCCGCTCCGCGCCCCCCGCCCCTCCCGGGTACCGCCTGGGCCCCCCGGTAGTCCCCCTCGTTCTCTCGACTCCCCTCCGCCCGCTTCGTCCCCCCACCCCCCTGGCCCTGCGCCCTCCGGGCGAGGGGCTGTCCCAGCGCTCGCCGGAGGTCCCGGAGGCCGACGGGGACTGGGCGGGGGCGGGCGGCCGGTCGCTAAACAGCGGGGACGCGCTGCGACACCCCGCTCCCCCGTCCCCGGAGTGGTGGGGGCACGTCGGGTTGAGGTGCGGCGGCGGGAGGAGGGGGACGGAGCGCCGTCCCGCGAGGAGGGACGCGGGGGGACGGGACCCCTTCGCCGGGGTCCCTCTGTAGCAGCGGTGCTGTTTTCCGAACCCCACGCGATGGCGTGGCAGGGAATCGGGGCGTAGTGCGGGGAGGTTCGTGGGAGGGCGGCGACACTTGTGCTGTGGAGGGTGTCCTCACGGACCCCGTGGAGTGTCTCGGGAGGGGTGGGCGCGGGTTTGTCCCCGGCAGGGTGTGGGGGTGACACCACGGGGGTGCGTGGGGACCAGCACTGGATAGTGTGGGGGTGCCGGGGCTGAGGCACAGGAGGGCCCCTCTGTCCCATGTCTGTGTCCCCGGGAGAGAGCTTGCAGAGGGGCAGGGATGTGGGAGAAGTGATGCTGAACCCCAGCAAATTTGTGTGTGAGCGGTAAGGGCCAGCGGGGACATCCAGCCTGGGTGACCCTCGTGTCAGCTGAGCAGGACCGGCCTGGGCTGGGCCGGGCCGGGCCACGTTGTGCTGTGCTGTGTTGGACTGTGCTGTACTGAGCCATGCTGTGCTGCAGGAGGCAGCTGTGCCCTGCTGTACTGTACCAGGCTGTGCCACTCTGTGCTGTGCCATACTAGGCTGTGTTGTACCAACCCGTGCTCTACTGCTGGCAGCTTCCAAGTTCTTCAAGAGTGAGGTGCTTTCTCAGGCAGCCTGAATGTGGGGAGCTCTGTCCTGTGCCCCAAACCATGATCCCTCCTAAGGTGGCTGTGTTTCCCCCACAACCTGTGGAGCTGGTGGGAGGGGCCCGAGCCTGGCAGGGGTGCCACGCTGGATGGTGGGGACACAACCCTGTGCTACCCGTGAGATTGTGGAAGGGATGATGGTTGGCTGTGCCCCATGTGCCTGCTGTATGTGCCTTATCTGTGCTGAGTCACGCTGCCAGTGCAGAGTAGCACCCTGTCCCCAGGGACCGTGTCATGCCACTGAGCTGGCCCCGGGTTGCCCTCTGCTATCTAACTGGTGACCTCAGTTTCGGGACCGTGCAGTGCCGTGGACCTAGAAGGGTTCGGCTGCCTGCTTCCCTGGGTGTGGCAGCTGCTGGGACCTGTCAGGCTGGTTCCCTCCCTGTGCCCAAGGCTACCCCAATGCGGTGGAAGCAGGAGGGGCTGGGGCAGTCACAAGGTGCTGATCGTGGGCACAGGGTAGGACCCCGCTGATCTGGTGCTGGCCAAATGCACCCCGCTTTCCCCAGACACCTGGGCTCCCTCCGGGGACTCTGGTCCCCCTGTAACTTGAGTGTCAGTCACAGAGGCTTTCCTAGGGTCAAGGTCCTATTTTGGGCCTTCCCTGGCCCCACAGATGAGGACCAGGGGGTCCCCTGAGCTTTCTCGGAAATCACAATGTGGAGAAAGTGAACTTCCTGTCCGCATGGCCACTGCCACACCGGTTATTTATTTTGGGCGCTGTCGTCATCGCAGTGATGAAGGCCAGTGTGACTGTGGCAGCTCGGCCATGGCTGGCACAGTTGGATGGCAGGAGGGATGGAGGGACAGACGCGGAACTGCTCCCTCCAGCCCGGCATGGGTGTGCCCTCGGCATCGCCGCCTGCCCAGCCCGGCTGCGGGAAGCACTGCGTCACACAGGAGGAAGTGCCCAATCCCCTCCTAGCCTGGTCCTGGTCAGGATCAGATCCTGGTTCCTTCCCTGGGATGGTTCCAAGATCACAACACCGCTGCGGGCAGGAGGCTCGTGGGGGATCCTGGCACCTTCCTGGGTCTGGGGTGCCATGCTGAGGGGGTGGGAGGTGGGTAAAGGCCTGGCACTCTCTACTGGCAGCACTGTTGTTTTCCTGGCCTTGAAGATCCTGCTTTCCTTCTCCTCCTCCTGCTGGGACCAAGCCCAGCTGGCCTTGAGCCCGGGCTGCCTGCTCACAGCTGCCGGGGGCTCTGTGAGGGGGCCTGGTGTGGCCGAGGAGGGGAGCTCAGCCCCAGGGGGGTCCCAATTCTGCTCCCCGAGGAAGAGTCCATCTCCTGTAGAGTTGATGTGGGTGTCACATCCCCTTATAAGGGGACTCGGGAGTTCTGGAGCCCCTGTGTGACACATGCAGCTGTTGCGTAGGGAACACTCCCGAAATGGGAGGGCAGTGGGATCTGCGTGGCTGTGATGAGGATCAGCCCCTGTGTTTCCATCCCAGGCAGCTGGCAGGGTGATGCCATTTGTCGTCGGTGTGGCGCTACCAGGAGCCACAGACCAGCCCGGGGAGCTGCTCCTTCCTCCCTGGCAGGCTCAGGGCGGGCTTTAAGGACCGGAGAGGTCTGATCCCTTCTGGAAAGGTCACGTCCTCGAGGCAGCTTGAGTCAGCGCGTGGCTGTGCCCTGCCCGCGGCTGACCACTGACGCAGGTCCCGGGGACTCAGGGCACAGGAATGCGGGTGGCCCCAGCCAAGGGGACATCCCTCGCTTGTTATTGACCTGCTGGCACTGAGGCCAACTTCTCCTTACTAATTAGGGGCCGCTGTTAAAGTGGGAGGGGGAGGTTTTGTGGCTGCACGATCCCCTCTGTCCCTGCACCTGTGGCTGCACTCACCAGGAACAGGTCCTGCCCGGGGAGGGTCACCTGTGCTGAAGCCCCCCGTCTTCTGTCCCCTGCAGGTGCCCGTGGGAGGTGCAGGGAGCCGGCATGTCGAATCCCAGCGCACCCCCGCTCTACGATGACAAGAACCCCCTCTACCCCCCGCCCCCCGGAGGGTACCCCCAGCCCCCCCACTATGCCGGGGGGTACCCGCAGCCTGGGGGATACCCTGCGGGGGCGGGGTACGGGCAGCCCGGGGGGTATCCAGCGTCAGGGGGGTACCCTCATCCGGGCATGGCCATGCCCAGCATGCCTATGCGGTTTGGTAAGTGGGGCACCTTGGTTTGTCTGGGGGAGGGTGCTAGAAAGAGGGGTGCTGTGAGGGGCTGCACGGCTGACTCTGGTGCTGAGGGGTGTCCCCCACAGGTGACAGTGGCCTTGGGGATGGCTCTCCCTTCCAATCTGTTGACTGGGACGATAGGAAAGTCCGGCATGCCTTCATCCGCAAGGTGAGTCCCAAGGGGCCAGGGGCACCTGTCAGGGTGGGGGGACAAGTGCTGACCCCCCTGTCTCTTGCAGGTTTATGCCATCATCTCCCTGCAGCTCCTGGTGACAGTGGGAATCATCTCTGTGTTCACCTTTGTGTGAGTAGAGGGTTCCTTCTTACCTTGTCCTGAAAAAGAGGAGCTTGAGTTCCTCGGGGGTGTTCAGAGGGGACAGTAGCTGCTGTCTCCTCTCCCTCACACTTGTCCCTCCTGTCCCACAGCCACCCTGTCCGCTCCTTTGTCCAGAGGAATGTTGCCATCTACTATGCCTCATAGTGAGTAGGGGCTCTGCTGGCTCGCTCCCCCCAGCTCGTGCCCCCCATCCACAGCCTCCCAGCCCAGGGGCTGATGCTGGTGGGGGCTGTGGGGCTCACACCTGCTGTCTCTCCTTGCAGTGCTGTGTTCCTGGTGACCTACCTGGTGCTGGCCTGCTGCCAGGGTCCCCGGTGAGTCCCCAGGGCCCCCAGGGTGGGGGGTGTGGGTATGGGGGGTGTCTCCAGAGCATCAAGGTAAGTTCCTGCCTGGGGCTGCCCCTAGGTGGTGGGGGCAAGGGGGACATGACATGGTTGTTGTCACTAGCTTACCTCTCTCCTGTTTCGTCCTCAGGAGACGCTTCCCCTGGAATATTATCCTGCTGAGCATCTTTGTGAGTCGGCTGGGACTGCCAAAGGGTCCTGGTGGTGCCCCCGTGGCACCCCAGCTCCCCCTGGGTGTGCTGGGAGGGACAGGAGGACATGTGGGCAGGTGGGCAGCCTGCTGAGCTCACCCCTCTTTCCCACAGACGCTGGCCATGGGGCTGATGACAGGCACGATTGCCAGGTACGCCCTGGGGACCCTGCTGTTACAGAATCTGGGGTCCCTCCTGTCCTCCACAATGCAGCCAGCTCTGCTGAGAGGCTGCCAGGAGCCAGGGCACGCTCCAGTCCCTTGGGCTCAGGGACTGCAGAGCTCCTGTCCACGACTGGGGCTGTGGGGGAGGGTCTCCAGCACCCCTCTGGCGGGAGGATACTGAAGTGGGAGGTGACTTTGTTTGTCTGTAGCATGTACGAGACGAAAGCTGTCCTGATTGCCATGCTCATCACCGCCATTGTGGCCATCGTTGTGACCATCTTCTGCTTCCAGACCAAGGCAAGGAGGGGGATGCACCCTGCCCTGCCCTCCATGAGCCAGGTGTGGGGAGCTGGTCAGTGGGGACAGCCTGGGCTCTCCTGTGACATTTGTGTGTGTCCCCATCAGGTTGATTTTACATCCTGTCCGGGGCTGTTCTGCGTGCTGGGCATCGTGGTCATGGTGACCGGGATCATCACTGCCATCGTCCTCTCCTTCAAATACGTGAGTGGGCAGGAGAGAGGGGCTGTGGGGTGCCGTGGCTGTCCCCAGGGCTGGTGCAGGCGGGGTTTGGGTGGTCCCTTTGCTGGGAAGCAGGGTGTGGTACCATGGAAGGCAGCTTGCCTGCAGGGGGAGGGTGCGTCAGCATGGGCAGCAGCTCCTCAAAGCCGGGTGCGGGCAGGACCTGCCCTGTTCCCCTGCTGCCTGCCAGCACCCCGGCTCACCCTGCTCCTGCTCCCTTCCCGCCAGGTGCCCTGGCTCCACATGCTCTACGCAGCCATCGGCGCCATCGCATTCACACTGGTGAGTTGGCGGCTGGAGCGGGCAGAGGGTGTGGGGCAGGGACTGGGGAGGGAGGAATTCCCCAGTGGTCCTTGCCTGACACGCTCTGTCCCTGCAGTTCCTTGCCTATGACACCCAACTTGTGCTGGGAAACAGGAAGAACACACTGAGCCCTGAGGAGTATGTCTACGGAGCCCTCACCATCTACACTGACATCATCTACATCTTCACCTTCATCCTGCAGATAGTGGGCCGGGATTAGCCCTGGGACCCCTCCTGTCCCTCTCCATCTGCCCCTCACCCCTCCTCTGGTCTCTGTACAGGATAGTCTGCTTACTGTGACTCTTAATGCTTTGGCATTCCTACCTGTAGGCTGCTAAGGAAAGGGCTTCCCTTGATCATCCCCCAGCAAGCTCTGAGGGCAGTGGGGGGGACTGACTGCCAGCATTAAGGCAGTTTAGCCCAGCTCTGGCACCGTTTACCGAGGCTGTGCCAATGGCATTGGGCTGGCAGCGGAATGTCACAGCCCTGCCTGGGCACAGGGAGCTGGCAGCGGCCGCTGGGATCATGTTGGGATTTTTTGGCAGAGAACAGTTGGTGTCATTCACTCTGTGCCTTAAATGTGGCTCTGGCCATGCCCCCTCCCTGAGCTGTGGCTGTGCCCAGCGTGGGCAGGGGGCAGCTGGAACCTCCGAGGCAGAGCTCACACTGCAGAGGCCCTGCAGCCACGGATGTGGGCAAAGTTGCACTTGCTAAATAAAACACTTCAGTTTTCCAGACAGTCCCGGTCTCACTCTTGTGGCAACTCCCTCAAAAAACCTGTGGGCAGACCCAGTGGGGGCTGCGGCCTGGCGCAGCACAAACACGGATTTGGGATGGGAAAACCAAGGTCAAACTGCTGCAAGCCTGGCCTCCCTCCCCTGCCTGTAGCCCCTGCTGCTGTGGGCAGAAGCCCAGCTGCAGAACAGCTGGGGCCCACTGCTGAGGCAGGCAGAGCCTGGGTGAACATTGAGGGGGCAACCACAGTGGCACTGAGCTGTTTCTCTTTATTTGTCCCTGTTCAGCTCCACAACCACTTCATGGTGTGGACACGCAGGGCAGACGCCATTGTCATGTGTTCCATGGGGCTGCTGTCACCTTGGCCAGTCCCTCCAGGGCGCCGCAGTGCCAGCCTGGCCGTGGGGACAGCCTGGCTATGCCCCCCTGACCATCCTGTTGTACCGCTCCGTCTCATACTCGCCCTGGTTGGCTTCCATCATTGCTCGGCGGATTTTGAGCTGCTCAAGGCGGTTTTTGTCCACTTGCCGTTTGGTCAGGAGGAAGAGGATGATGCCGGAAGGCAATCCAATGGCCCTGCAGGATAGCCAGCGGTCAAGGAGATGGAGAGAGTGAGTGGGTGGGAAGCCAGGGTGCTGTGCCACGCCGGGGCTGCACGGACAGTGCCCTGTTCAGCACTAGAGACCCCCAAGACCCCTGTTCCACCCTCACAGAGCAGTGCAGCCTCCCAGAGCCGACGCTCTCCCAGCAGCTGAGCCACTCACCAGGCCACCCCCACCGGCTTCATCGGGTTCTTGCCCTTCTTGCGGGTGGGGATGTACTCCACCCCCTCGGGGAGCCCCCCGCTGCCGGGCTCCTGCCTGGCGCGTTGTCCGGCTGGCCGGGGGCAGCTGTGCCCAAAGAGCCGTGTGCCCCGGGCGTCCGGCCGCGCCCAGGCCTTGGCAGGGCACGCCGAAGCTCTTACAGCCATCAGCAGTCCTGCGGGGAGAGAGGCATTAGGGAAGGGCAGCCATGGGGTAGAGTGTGGGGGGCCCAGCCCGGGCTGCCTGAAGCTGCTGTCCCTGCCCTTACCCCGGCCCTCTTCCCTGCCCTTACCCCGGCCCTCTTCCCTGCCTTTTCCCTGCCCTTTTCCCTGTCCTTCCCTAGCCCCCTGCCATAGGCCTGCCCTTCCGCCAGAGGGCGCTCCAAGGCGGGGGCCTGACACGGGGGCGTGGCCAAGCGCAGCGGGGGCGTGGCCCTAAGCCCTGTCCTCAGCGGGGCGGGGCGGGGGTGCGTCCCGGGGCGTTTGTGCCGAAGGCCGCGGGGCAGTGCCGTGAGGGAGGTGGCGGAACGGTCCCGGTTCCCCCGCCCCGGGGCTGCCCCCCTGACTCCTGCCCACCCGCTCGCCCGCCCGCCGTTACCCCGCAATCCGCCTCGCGCCGCCGCCATGGTGCCCGTGTGCGCCAGAGGCTCCGCTGCATGCCGGGAGCTGCAGTCTCGCCACACAGGGAGTGTCGGCGTACGGCGCCGCACGGTGTGCGCTCAGAAAACTGCATCTCCCAGAGTGCGCCGCGCGGGGCGGGGCCGGTTCGCGCTGCTGGCGGAAAGGGCGGGATCCGCGAGCGGCCTCGGGCCGTGGTTGGCTGGGGCGGGCGGGGACTGAGCGGGGCGGNATGGAGCCCGGGGAGGGCCCGGGGGCGCTGGACCTGCACGGCGACGAGGAGATCATCGAGGTGGTGGAGCTGGGCCCGCCCGGGCCGGGTGAGACGGGGCGCCCTGCGCCACGCAGCGGGCAGGGCCTGCGGGGGTCCGGCCTCCCGCCGGGGCACCGGGAGCGCTGCGGCCCCACCCCAGTGCCGGGCCCGGCCGGTGCATCCCCCCCGGCCCGCGGCCTCTCCCCGTGTCGCGTCCCGTTCCTCTGCGGTTTCCCCGCTCTGGGGCTCGTGGCCGCGGCCGCACCGCGCATCCCCCGCTGTCCCGCCGAGCCGGGCAGCCGCGAGCCGCGCCCTGACCTTCGCCCTCTGCAGATGACCTGGCCGAGGAGATGGAGGACGTGGACTTTGAGGACGAGGGGGCAGAAGAGCCCGATGCCGAGGCTTGGGAGTCGGAGGATGACGAGGGGGTGGAGGACGGCATGGAGGCCCAGGACGACAGTGAGGTCACGTTCTCGCTCCACTCGGGTGAGTGCTGGGCACGGGCAGAAGCGGCTGGGACCCCCCTGGGGACATGATTTCATCTTGGCGGGCCCCAGAGTCCAGGGGTGCAGTGCACCTTGCTAGGCTGCTGTCTCCTAGCCTTCTTGGGACAGCTGTCAGGACTCTGAGCTGCCCTGGGCCTTGTTTCTGCCTTGTGCTCTGGCAGAAGAGCCCTTTGGGCCTCTCATTCCATTAGCAGCTGGCCCTAAGCTCAGCAGAAAGGCTGTGCCCCTCCTCTCCCGCGTGAAGAATTGATTCCCACTGGGCTGGGTTGAGAGTTCAGCTTGCTGACGTCCCACCCAGACCAGTGCTGCACAGGGTTTGGATCCCCTGGGAACATCAGGTGAGGTGGGATCAGCACTGTAGCCATGTAGCCTCTCTTTGCTCTTTTGTGAAGATTCTGTCTTCTGTGTGAGCCTTGACCCCAAGACCAACACGCTGGCAGTGACAGGCGGAGAGGATGACAAGGCCTTCGTGTGGCGTGTGAGTGACGGGGAGCTGCTGTTTGAGTGCTCAGGTGAGGTGCAGTGAGCAGCTGTGTCCCCTCTCTGCAGCGTCTGTCTGCGCACATTTTTCTCCAGCTGATGCTGTGCTCTCCTGACCATCGTCCATAGCTTGGCCTGAGCAGTCTCTGTCCCCTGATGTTTACAGGACACAAGGACTCGGTCACCTGTGCTGGCTTCAGTCACGACTCTGTGTTCGTGGCCACAGGTGACATGTCTGGGCTTATCAAAGTGTGGCGGGTGGATGCCAAGGAGGAAGTGTGGTCCTTTGAAGTGGGGGACTTGGAGGTGAGTGGTGCTGTGGGGGGCTCCCCAGCCAGCAAGTGGGGTGGCAGCACTTCGGTGACGCTGCCTGTCCCTCTCTCTGCTCAGTGGATGGAGTGGCACCCTCAAGCCCACGTACTTCTGGCTGGTACAGCTGATGGCAACACCTGGATGTGGAAGATCCCCAGTGGGGACTGCAAGACCTTTCAGGGTCCAGCATGCCCAGCCACATGTGGCAGGATCCTGCCCGATGGTGAGGCGTGGGGCCTCTCTGCAGTGTGAAATGTCACCAGCTCTGTGTGGGCCATCTGCCCTCCTGCTTCTCCCAGTCTGTGCTGAATGGGAGGTGGGGGGATGGGGGGCCCTGTCTCTATCTGCTATCTCTGTCTCACCCAGGGAAGCGAGCAGTGGTGGGGTATGAGGACGGGACCATGCGCATCTGGGACCTAAAGCAGGGAACCTCGCTGCATGTCCTGAAAGGTAAGGAAGAAGGAAGAGGTTTGTCACCTGGGCTACTCCCTAGTTGGCAAACAGCTCCTAGTGGGCTCTGACCTCTGCCTGGGTGGAGAGGAGGCATCCTGTGAGGACAGGAGGGAGCCTGGCACAGGGTTTGTCTGTCCCCAGCGGTGGCTGTACCTTGCTGGGGTGCTGGCAGAGCCAGGCAGGGTGGAGGCTGCAGGGTGGCGTGTTTCAAGGCTCACTGGGTCTCTGTGGGGAGGGCACATAAAGCTCATACCTGCTGCTCACCCCCCAGGCCAGGATGGCCATCAGGACCCCTTGACGTGTGTGGCCAGCAACCAGGATGGCAGTTTGATCATGACGGGCTCTGTGGACTGTCACGCCAAGTTGATCAACTCTGCCACGGGCAAGGTGCGTCTGCGTGGGCCGGGAGCAGAGCCAGGAGCGCTGGGGACCCCCCAAGTCCCCTGTTCTGGGCCGGGGGCAGAGCCAGGAGCGCTGGGGACCCCCCAAGTCCCCTGTCCTGGGCCGGGGGCAGAGCCGGGAGCGCTGGGGACCCCCCAAGTCCCCTGTCCTGGGCCTGGGGCAGAGCCAGGAGCGCTGGGGACCCCCCAAGTCCCCTGTCCTGGGCCGGGGGCAGAGCCGGGAGCGCTGCGGACCCCTCCCAGGCACGGCCGGTGTGCGGCCATCGGCAGCCGGCAGGCGGCGCCCTCGCGCTGCGGCGGAGCGCGGGCTGGGTGGTCCCGCCGGCTCCTGGGGGGACGCTCCCTCCCTCCTGTTTGCTCCCAGGAGCTGAGGATTTGCGGCCGCGCCTTGTTCTAATGAGGGCGCAGGCTCGGTACCGAGTGCGAACGGGACCTTTGTGCATCTGGGTCTCCTGCCCTCGGGGTACAGTGTCCCTCCCTCTACCCAGGTGGTGTGCGTGTTCAAGATGGAGAGCGTGACTCCCAAGGCACCCGTCAGTGAGGGCGAGGAGGCAGAGTCCAACTCAGTGGAGTCGCTGGGCTTCTGTAATGTGTGAGTGTTGGGCCAGCCCCTCTTCAGTGCTACATCTTACAGGGCTTGTCATACAGATCCATTTGCATCCCTTGCGCTCAATCTGCTGCATTTCTCTTGCTCCATCCTCCCCAGCTGGGTATGGAGATGCCAGATCCCTTTGGTATGAGGCCAAGGGACACCACTGCTCAGCCCTCCCTGCAACTGTTGGGATTCTGGGCTAGCCTGGTGGACCACTGCTTGGCTGGGATACTCTAGACAGGTATTTTCCTGTCAGGACATTGTCATCTTCACAAACCATGAGCTGATTGCTGACTTGCTGTACTGTTGGGTTTCCCAAGTGGTGTGTTTGATGGCTTCAGGGATCAGGTTGTCCTTCATCTTCTCAATGCATTGTAGCCTTCAGCACAGGGTTTGCCTTTTACCTGGAGCCTTTATGTGTTTCCATCCCTGGTTCCCCATGTCCCATGTAATGCCTCTTCCCATCTGTAGGATGCCACTGGCCGCTGTGGGCTATCTTGACGGCACACTGGCTATTTACGACCTCTCCACACAGAGCCTGAGGCATAAGTGCCAACACGAGGTACTGCCCTCCCCCCCTGCCCAGGCCTGGGAGGTGGGCTTTGGGCCTTTTGGAGAGCTCCCTTGGAGCCCAAGGACCAGTTCCCAATTTGTACTTCTCCCTTAGAGTTGGGCTTCCCCAGAGGGCAGCCGCAGTCTCTGCAAAGCGGATGTGCTTGGCCCTGGGGTCTGGCTCTCCTGGGGGGATGGCAGACACCGTGAGGGGGTGGGGGTACACGGGGGGAGCTAACACTTGCTGGAGATCCCCACTGTGGTCTCCCCCTGCCCCAGTCAGGGATCGTGCAGCTGCTGTGGGAGGAGAGCTCGGCCGTGGTGTACACCTGCAGCCTGGACGGGGCTGTGCGGCTCTGGGACGCCCGCTCCGGGAAGATGATCAGCGAGTACCGAGGGCACTCTGCTGAAATCCTCGACTTCGCTGTCAACAAGTGAGCAGGCCTAGACCCCTTCCCTGCTGGGTGGAGGGAGCAGTGGTAGCAGGGGCCTCCAGCCTAGGAGCTCATATCACAAGCTGCCTCCTCTTTGAGTGCCCTTGTGGTCTGGTCCCAAGGTGGGGGACAAATCTAGGTCCATGCTGAGACTTGAGGGTCTCAAGGGGGAGTGCAGCACTTCAGAGCTGGGCTGGGAGTGATGATCAGGGATACTGGAAATCCCCAGCCCCACCTCTGAGCCCTGTCTCCCTGCAGGGATGCCTCCATTGTGGTGACCACCTCTGGCGACCACCAAGCCAAAGTGTTCTGCGTCCAGCGGCCCGATCGCTAGAACTGTGTCAAGGGACGGCGTCCTGGCGCTGCCCTGCGCCTTGTGTACAGAGGGACGAGGGACATGGTTTCACCATCCTTCTCCAGTGTGTGCTTTGTAATTTTTCCAGCCTGCCCTGCTTTGCCCTCACCATCCAGGGGCCAAGCCAGGGGTTTTGTATGAAGATGTCTTTAATTATATAAATTATTTCACTTAACTGGATGCCATCTACTCTGCTTGTTGGGGGGAAGAGGATCTGGGGAGCTATGCTCCCTCCTCAGGGATCTCCCTGGCATCCAATTATGGCTCCAACCACGGCCTGAGGATCAGTGGCAGAGACTCTCATCCTAGCTCTCCCTGCTAGGGTGAATGAAGAGGTCAGGATAGGAGGGTGCAGGTTGCTAGCTGAAGGAAAGAGAATCCTGCTCTGTACAGTCCAGGAGTTCTCTAACAGAACACGCAATTCCCAGATCTGGGTACTGCACCCCAAAGTTCACCAGAAGGCATATGTTCCACAATACAGGAATTATCTCCCTTGGGGCTGTGACTAAACACCCCTTCCAGGGCAAGGTCACATGCATTGACAAGCCAAAGCCTCACAGCCCTTTAAGATAGAAAGATCTTCTTTATTAATGAACCCCAACAGTATTTCTTCAGATACAGGAGTTTTGAACTCAAATACTCAGAAGAAAACAAGTTAATATTGCATTATTCTCATAAGAAATACTGCAACTTATTTCCAGTAACATATTGCAAAGCGAAACAGCTTGAAAAGAAAAAAAAATTAAAAAAGAAAAGAAATTAAGTCAATCAAACTGGAATTAAAGTTTTGTTTCTTGGAACGATCGA